CATCTCCATAATTAAAATTATCTGTATATATAATTATATACGTGTAGATCTGTACCGAATGCGTCGCTACTCCCCCGAGTACGAATTTAATCCTGTAAATAGCCGAGGAAACAAACGCAATTTCATTGACACAGATCGGTGTCGTCTTCACAAAAACGTTGGCCTGTCGATGTGTGCGTTGTGTTAATTTCGTCCTACATTTACGTCGCGTTTTACGAGGTCTCGTCACTCATCTATAGTCTATTACCACTGCACCACGCACTGTTCTCTGATATACGTCGTGTTTGGAGAATCATCAAATCCTACCGTAGCGCAGTAACGTAGTTTATAGTGCAAACAGTTTTACCGGAGTCTAACGTCACGGTGTAATTGCTGTTCGGATATTAATCGATGTAAATTCTGCGCGACGCATAAATTTGTATGTTTCAGCTTCGTTTTAACGTTATTTACAGCGTTGGCATAAAGATAATTACGTTTATAAAAGAATTGATATGTTTTATTATTAAAATGTATAAAAGAATGGACATGTTTTATAATTAAATTGTATAAAACAATGTTTTATAATTAAAATGTATAAAATGTATAAAATGTATAAAAATGTATAAAATTTTATAATTAAAATGTATAAAACAATGGATATGTTTTATATTTAAAATGCATAAAACAATGGATATGTTTTATAATTGAATAACTATATTTCTAAATAACTATGTTTAACTATGTTTCCATTGGAGGATACCATTAAGTACAGTTTAAATTTCGCGGTATGGAGTTTGCTGGAAGATGGCGTTACTGACATGTTGACTATTTCAGGACTTTGATTAGATATCTGGTTTTGACAAGTGACAGATCATTTAACTAACAATGAGTTTGATAATAAGAACCAAATTTATACAGGTATTAAGAGAATTAAATTTAAATAAGAGGTCATGTAGTGACAAACTCATTTAAAGAAGAAGTAGTATAATGACAATCTCATTTAAACAAGTATAAGTAGTATTATGACAATTGAAATGACATAAATATAGGTTTGTATAGTTACAATCAATTTTAGACAGATATAGGTGGTACAATAGCAACCAATTTTAAATAAGTATAAGTAATAATCAAATTCAGACAAACATAAATAATATAATCATGATCAAATATGTATAAAGTGCAAGTAACGTACTGATTATTTCCTTTAAACAAGTATAAATAATACAATGAGAAGCAAAATTAAATAAATGTAGATTTGTATAATTACAATCAATTTTAAATAAACATAAGGAGTAAATAATTGCAGTCACTTTTAAGCAAAAATAAGTAGTATAGTGACAGTCATACAGACAACATAAATAATATAATTATGATCAAATATATACAAAGTGTAAATAGCGTAACAACTATCATAGTTAAACAAGTCTAGGTAATTCCTTTATAATAAGTTTTAAAGAAGTATAAGTAGTATTATAGACAACCAAATTTAAATAAATACATGTAGTATAATTATAACAAGTTTTAAAGAAGTATAAATAATACAAGCGTAACCAAATTAAAAGAAATACAAGTAATATAATTACAATCAAATTTAAACAAACATATACTGTATAAGTCTAATTAATTTTAAGAAGTATAAGGAGTGCAATTACAGTAAAATTTACACAAGGATAAATAGAATAGTAAAAAGCAAATTTACTCAAAAATATGTAGTATAAATACTATCAATTTTAAAAAAGTGTAACACAATCAAATTTAAACAAGGATAAGTAGTATCATGTACAACAATAAAATTTAAACAAATATATGCAGTATAATTGCAATCAATTTTAAAATATAAATAGTACAATCACAATTAAATTACACAAGAATAAGTAATATTATGTGGCAACCAAATTTTAACAAGTGAACCATTTATTTTGAAAGTGATATAAGTCCATCTGCATGAATATACACTATTTTAGTTAAATCACTTAAAACAAATTTGTAAAATCAAATTACGTATTGATCAATCAGTAAAAAAGTTACTGAATTGCCAGTCTTGATATTATTAACCTATATTTTTTCATTGACATATATGCTAACCTTAATTTTCTCAAAATAAATGAAAATGGACTTACACCACTGTTAAAATAAACTATCCAACTATAAATAACATAATAACACCTAAGTTTAAACAAACTTATCTAGTATAATCACAATAAAACTTGAACAAGTACTACAATGTCAATTAAACTTAAACAAATATAATATATTGATTATCCAATTATACTTAAATGCAAGAAGAAGCGATCGCCATAAAAATGTTATAAAAGCGACCTTTTATGTGAAAGTACCCTCGTTTAACCATCAAAAGTTCGATTCTAGGCATCATCGTAGGCCAATGAATCTAATTTCCAATCTAGTCACGAGCAAACCCCGGCTTCCTCTCTGTGCACGTGGAAAATGAAACTCTTTCTACCCAATGAAGCAGCTCATCGAAAGACGACTGACTGCTTTCTCGAAACTCTTATTATTCGAGCCGAGTATCGACCGCTCGTTACAACATTATTTTACGTCCCCGCTTCTGTCTACCTGTTTGCGCGTGCTTGCGCTTCTGATGCCTTTTTTTCTCTCTCTATGCCTTTTCTTCTCTCACTTCTATTAAACCGGTATTGATATTTAAATCAACGCCGTTGGAATTAACTTTCGGTCACATTTTTATTTTCCTAAATTTTCGTACTTTTAATTACTTCAATTTCATGTTCCGTAATGTATAGTTTTTGAATTCTTAAATTTCAAATTTCGTAATTTATAATTTTCGAATTTATTGATTTTTGTTTTTTCGTCCTAAACGTGAAATGTTTAAATTTCCAAATTTTAAAAATTTTTAAGTTTGTAAATATCGAAATTTTCGGATACCTGAATTCTAAGATCTAAAATTTCTAAATTCTAAAATTCCAACTTTCAAATTTCTAAATTCTCAAAATTCTAAATTCTCAAAGTTCTAAATTCTCATACTTCTAAATTTCTAAATTCTCAGTTCTAAATTCTCAAATTTCTAAATTGCCAAATTTCTAAATTGCCAAATTTCTAAATTCTCAAATTTCTAAATTCCCCAATTTTTAAATTCTCAAATTTCTGTATTCTAAATTTCAAAATTTCTAAATTCTAAATCCTAAATCCTAAATTTCCAAAGTCTTAAATTTCAAATTTATAAATTGCCTACATACAAACTCCACAAGTTTCTAAATTTCAAAATACAATTTTAAAAAATTTCAAAAATTCCTAATTCTTAAATCTTTAAATTACAAATTGTAAAACTACTACATCTTTTTAGTTTGGAAATTTCCCAAATTTCTAGACATCCCAATTTTCAAATCCTCATATTTCCAATTTTCAAATTTTTTAGTTCAAAAATGTTCAACTCGCAACACTCAAAATTTCCAGCTTTTCAAATCAACAAATTCCGAAATTCACAATCGACATGCGTTATCAATATTTCACTTTAACGAATAAATGAATATTACGAATCGTGAAGTATTGACAGCGTATAAACAGTATTGAGAGTTCTGAAATATTGACAGTATATATTGATCGTCTGCGGTCTCCATAAAATAATGAGGCTCGTTATAATCGCCACTTGTCTGCTTGATGCATATAATCATTACATACCTACAGCTGCAGACAGAAATATTCGTTGTCAGACAATATTATATCGAAAGATGACTAATGCATATCAAATATTGCATTTATTACAAACATTTATTAACAAAACTTATTCAGCACGTTATACGTGATTAATGATTTGTATTACTGATGTATTTATGATGTATAAACAAATTATTAATATAAGCGAATATTAATAACAATTTAAAACATTTGGAGTTGGAAAATACGGTGTTAAAAACAATTCTTATACAAAATGGTGTGGAAACGTCTTATAGTTTATAATTAAATTAAGGTGAATAAAGCTGTTAAAAAATTAACCTAAAAATTCAATTCAGCTCATTCCACGATTCATTATACGTTTAAAATATATTCGAGCGATTTCTAAGATTGTAACTAAGAAGTTTTGTAATATTTGTAATGGAAACAATAAATGCTGCAAGATTACTTACTTATTACAATGATTTTGTACGTTTTAATTGGATACAACACTACACTCGATCTGTGGTTTCTTTATTTTTCGACCGCTGCGCGCGCATGAACAATTCGCGGGAAATTCAAATATGATTATCGCAGTTTTCATATGGTAAGAGTAAACTATCTTAATTCATATATGTAAATTATGTGGATAAATAATAAAATAAAACTATGACCATAAATTTCTATTGAACCACTATGTAATATTCCTTTTATATTTAAATGCCAAAAGAATCGTACTTCAGTATTATTTATAAAAGATATATTATTTATAAGATATTACTTACAAAATGCAACGTAGCATCAATAATTCATTTTAAAATGAAGAAGTCGTAAGTTGTGCTGTTCGTGATTCTAATCGCGTGTTAGTTTATAATTTCCTGTCTGTTGCGTTAGCTTCAACTTCGGCATCTATACTGTAGTCAATTGCGTTGCGTGCATCCGCAACGAGCACTGGTCGTGAAAATTACATAGTATTTTATTTTGTAATATCCAAGAACGCTAGTGTCATTACTAACACTGCAGCAGTATTTACGTTCTGATATAAAAAAGTGTACATTGTTCTTACATAAAATATTTATTTATAAATATTTACTGTTATTTATTGGGATTTGAATTAAACAGGAAAGTTATTGAAATTTTAAATATTAATGAAAAAAATTATTAATATGTTCAGATATCTTAATTTCATATCTTTTATCTATATTTAATTTTTAGTTAAATATCGTGAGCCAATCGTAAAATTGTGAAATAAGAAGAAAAGAGGTTTAAACTAAATTTAAGTATAACAGTAAAATTGGAACTGACTTATAACAGTTCATAATAATGATTTTGGTAGTGAAAATATATTCTGTGTTTTTTATAATAATAGAGAATGTTACTTTTTATTGTTACAGGTCACAAAATGGGTTGTTTTGGGAGCAAAGATAAGTTGAGTAAAGAGGACATGGATTTCCTCAAGTCACACACAAGATATGATGAAGCAACCATAAAGGAATGGTACAAAGGGTTTAAAGTAAGTACAATATTTATTGTATAATAACATTGATGGTTTATTACACAAATATTGTATATTCCAATGTTTTTTGGAAAAAAGGATTAAAGATTCAACAGCTTTTTATATTATATTAAATAAATATCTTCTGCACTACATTTATTGTTTTATGTATATATTACAACTATAATTTAAATTTAATTACCAGCAATAATTAAAATTTACTGAATTGCAATACAGAAACAATGAAGGAGTATTTATTAAAAACTCAAATGATATAAAAAGTAGATATACAAGATTTGTGCACCAAGCCATCAATATAATACTTTTTCATAAATTATTATATCACATTATAGATAAAAATGATCAGAAATGTAATAAACAATACTAAATTCAATATAAAGTACTCAAATTACATTTTACTTAGATAAATACAAAATTATATTTTTTTAAATCTATATATAAAGCGTGCAAATAAAAACACAATAAGCTTTTTTTTATAAAATATAAAGACTAATGTCATTACATATGAGTGGAAGTATTATTAGAGTTATTTACAGTTTTCATTATTTTTAGTAATTAATATAGCATGCATGTTTGTGACCACTTTCCTAAATTAGACTGGACATGCCTGCGAGCAGTTATCACTGTCCTTTACTGTAACTTTTTGTATTTATTTTATTCTTGTTCATTTCAAAATGTACTGTTATTTACAACACTTCATTATATTTATTAAGAACATAATTCTAGTTCTTTTTAAGTAAACTATGCAAATCTTTATTCTTTCTCAAAACATTTAATTCCTTTTATTGTGATTTAACAGACTTCCAAAATATTAAAATAAAATTACTGTTAAATAATTCAAAGCAGTGTGGTACGTACAAAAAATATATGATATACTAATAAACTCTTGTCTATCAATAAACTGCATTTACATATTAACTGCATTTGTGAACAAAATACTGTTCTGAAATATTTAGTTACTTACAATTTTATTAGTTTCTACTCTTTACTTGTGTCAAAAATAATCACATTAATTTAAATCATTAAAAGAATAACAAATAAATATAATGAAAGACAAAACAGTGAGTATTTCTTTCAATCACCAAGTTGACTTAACACGTGTGTTGCATGTATTCATAATTAGGTTATGTAACTAAAACTTACAAATATCTAGAAATACTATTTATAATAAAAGTAAGAAAATTTTGGAAGATCATTTAATGAAATTTACTAGTAATTTGAAAATATAAATATATATACAGTTTTATATACATTTTTATTACTTAAATCCTCAAATAAACCATAGGATAAAAATAAACTGGTGTATATGCACAGGTGTTAATGGGTTTTGTTAAAAATATGAAGTTGGCTTAAAATAAAATGTTGAACTGATGTTTTTTACAAAATGTCTTCTGTATAAATAAAAGAAAGAATAATAAATAATGAATAAATAATAAAAGAAATTTGTATTTACGCACTGTTTAAAAAATTTCGTTAAGACCAGTGTTTTGTTTGGGTTAAGTATGCCACCAACTTCATATTTTTAAGATGGTCCATTAACGAGTAGAGTACTTTTTTCCTTGATCAACGGTTTAATAGTTTTATAAGAATCAAAGAAATCACAGCAGTTATCCATAAATCTACACTGTAAAGGCTATAAAAAGCCGGGGAGAGAAAAAAGAGAAAAAAACACGGGGTATCTTTAACGTTCGATGTTAACTAGTTTATCAAGCATAAATCCGATTGAATCAAAGAGAGGACTCTCCATCTCCGTCGATCTCCGGCCTCTTGGATGTTTATTCGAGCTTATTCGATCATATAAAAAGAAATAAATCCGCGCTAACCCGAGGGATGAATCAGTTTTCATTGCATCTCCAGCAGGAGCATCTAGTCCCGGCTAATTGGCCTTTAAAGAGAATTTAACAATTTCGAGGGAAATCCGCTCCTCGAAAAAGTTGTTCGCTCAAAGTTTCTCGGATAATTTGAAACAGCTCTCGAACGAAAGCCGCAGCTCGCACAACTAATTAAACTAAGGTAAAACTGTCGTTATCCCAGGACATTCTTCGATTTGTCCCGCATTTCACGCGAACTTCCGGCCATTTCGTAACACGGGCACAAACCCCCCTGGTGGAATTGAAATAAACGATCGCTGTCCCGTTTTCCAACGCCATCGCTAAAGGCAACAATTCCGTTTCAAAAACCGCCCAAGACAAACGACGCTCGTGTAAAGGTCAATCAGATAGAAGCTATTGGGAGTGGCAGAGTTTAAAAAGGTTCGATTTGCACAAGGTCATGTTACGATTGACCCGATGGAGTTGCCGTATCTTTAACCGAACAATCGCTCGTAATTTTTACGTTTGAGATTTTATTACCGCAGCTCTTAGTGCGTTAGAGATATAAACTGGGAGAAATTGTAAATATTTTATGAAATGGCAGTTTTGACTGTTTTGAGTACAAATGTTTGGTAATTATGTAGAAAGTTAAGTACAAGGTTAACTATAAATATTAAGTGTTGAGACCAACAAATTTCAATTTTAATACACATTCTTTGCATTCAAAATTCTTGGAATTTTCATATTTGCAAATTGTCAACTTCCAAGTTTGAAAATTTAAAAATTGTCAACTTCCAAGTTTGAAAGTTTACAAATTTTCAAATTTAAAATTTGTCAACTTCCAAGTTTGAATACTTACAAATTTTCAAATTTAAAAATTGTTCAATATTAAAATTATCCAATTAAAAAATTTTTCATTTCCAAATTTTGATTATCCATATTTAAACATTTTTAATTATATAAATTTTTATATTTCTAGAATTCTTAAAATGTCGCGTGTTTTTAAATGTCATTTTTAAAATCACCAATATAGCCATCAATATCACCAAATTTTTAAGTTTTAATTTCCCACATTTTTAAACGTCAAAATTTTTAAATTTCCAAGTTCTCAAATTCCCTAATTTGCAAACTATCAAATTTTCAAGTTAAATTTCACTTAAACAAAAATGGAAGCTATAAACTAGACTTGGGCAGATTAAACAGGTATAAAATATCATTATTTTCTCTCTTTAATTATGTCAATTATTACATATACTACAATTAATCGCACTAATTGGTACATAATTATTTACTCACAAAAGAAAGGATGCCGAAGTCTACGCTTTGCAACGAAAACATTAGTGTAAAATATATTTTTAGCAGTTATCATCTAAATGCAAGTTGGAAAAAATACAAGATTAAACATAATATAAATGAACTTAACTAAACAATGAATATAACTAAAACTCAATTAAAACTATGACTAACGTCACTTCCCTCTTTAAAGAAATCAAAATATGCTGAACTAAATGTTAGAAATATGATTCGAAGTACGCGCTGGAATGCATTCGCAAATGTGCGTACGCATATGCGATTGTGCGCATGCGCATATGATTGTGCGCATGCGTAGAAGGCATCGTTTCGATCATATTATAGTACGTCAAACGCAAGCACGTGAAATGCATATAAACGTTAATAAAATGGGAATAATTATCACAAGTCAGTTTAGAATGTGACAAACTCATTAAACAATACCTTAACAATATTTAAAACGAGAAGTAAAACTAACCTATGGAAGTTGTACGATGTTTATAAACATCGCGTGCGATATAATATAGTAGACCTTGTTAACACTAAAACTACCAAACCGGTCAAATGACTGTTCTACAAGATCCTTATTATAAATAACACAATTTGTTGAATTGATTTTTCTGATATCTACATTGATCTTCATCAAGATAAAGAATTAATGTGTGTACTAATTTATATTTTGTCGTTTGTTTATTTATTTTTTGACTTCATTTTTCATGTCAAATTAAGTACACATTATACGTCGGTAGGTTTAGTGTTAAGAATGCACACTGTACAACATCGAAAACGTATAAAGTTACTTATCATAGTAGTTAATACTTAAAACTTAAAATAAAAAGAAGATATTAAAAGTATTTATCAAATAATTTGTTTGCATTACAGCAAGACTGCCCGAATGGTAGGTTAACGCCAGCGAAATTCGTCGACATGTACAAAATGTTCTTCCCCTCTGGCAACGCGGAGGAATTCTGTGATCACGTCTTCCGTACATTCGACATGGACAAGAATGGCTACATCGATTTCAAGGTAAGCCGTTCGAATCGATTTTTCTTTCCTATTACGTTACCTTTTCAATGGAAGAATGCTGCGCTATTCGGGAAGGTAGAACTCTCTCATACGTCGTTTATTCCGAACGATTAAACTTGATCGCATCAAACCCTGTCGATCGACCAATCCTTCGTTTTCAGCGGAATATCGTGCCGACGGCGTTTAGCCTTCAAAACTCGTGTATCTATTCTCACGGAAGTAGATATTAGGTGTACCATTCTGATAATCCACTTTTCTACCGAATTTGGTACTGTAGATGGGAAAAATGTGATTGGGTATTATGGTTAGCTGAAAATGTTGAGTAACGTTTTTCTTGTACTTATAAGGTAATAGTATTACTACTTTATACATTTGAAGGTGAATTTAATGTTTCTATGGTAATCTGTAAATTTGCAGGTCTTAATAGGATATGACATACAGATGCCATCTTGTCAGACGCACAATAAATTGCAGATAAACAGTGATTTATACTCTATGGTATACAGGGTGGTTCACCATATTTTGTCATCTAGATTTGCGTCATTATTATTACGCATAGCAAACAATGTTTTAGATGAAGTTGAATGGTTTTGAAGGTGGCATATGTTGATGGTATAAAAAATATATGATTCCATTTAAAAAAACATTAATGACCTTCATATGTTCTTTGCACGTCCACCTACAAGAAAAAAATATATCACTAGAGTATATGCCTCTCTCAAAACCATAATGATAAATAAAAAAATAATGACGCAAATCTAGATGGCAAAATGTGGTGAGCCACCCTATATATTTTGGTTTATCTAACAACATCTTGTATATAGATAACAGTGAAATCAGCAATTTGTACGACTGATTAATTAGTAGATACGACAGATTAATAGGTGTCATATTAAAATTGCTAAAACGTGTTACAACCTTATCTCGTCTAATAAAATCCGTTAGCACATTCGAGAACGAGCTAACAGGTGCAGCTCTGTCGAGATAAGGCGAAATCGTAAATTAAACCATTAGAAAGCGGCGCCCATTGATGACGTAATGTTCAGGGCCGTATATTGCTTGTTCCATTTCGGTATCATTAAACTATCAAATTTACAAATTTGTAGTGTGGATATTTATCATTTAAAAATTATATACCTTCAAATTTTTATACTTCCAAATAAATTTATATTAAACTATAAAAATTTACTTTTTTTCTTTCAAGTTTTGAAAGTCGAAAATTTTTGAAATATTTTAATTTCCAAAACAATTGTAATATTCTCCAAATTTGAGAATTAATTTAAAAAGTTTGGAAATATAAGGTTTTGAAAATTCAAAAATGTTGACATTTGCATAATTTGCAGTTTGAAAATTTGAATACAAACGTAAAAGTTATAAAATTCTCAAATTTCCAAATACAAAAATTGTTAAATTTCATAAAGAACATAGAAATTAAACATTCCAAAATTTTTAATTTTCTAAATTTAATTTAAAGGCTTTTAAATTTGTCCTAATACAAAAATACACACATTTCCCAATTATGAACCAATTTTCCACAAAATTAAATAACGTATAAATGTCCCTACTCGAAGCATAGCAACAAGCAATAAAACTTTCCGCGTTTAAAAGATAAACAAAGAACTGCACTTCGTATAATAAATTTTCTCAAAAAACCGATTGAATATCGTTGAAATAAATTTACACGGAAGCTATAGGAAAACAGGTTTCAGCGAAAAGCGGGGAAATGAATATAATAAAAAAAAGTAATTAAGCGATAGCTGTGCAAACTGCAGATGTTCAGTGAACGGTAAAGTAAACTGGAGCAGAATCGCGAGAGCCATTATGATAAATTCCCGCAGTTTCTGCAAACGTTTCAAACGACCAAGGTAAAATATTGTGGAGTAGAAAGTGTTATTCGCGTAAACGTGAATTGCATTCATCGTGAGCCTCTGTTGAAGTGTAAAGGATAACGTGAAACTGTCTGTCCATTGTTGCGAATACAATATGGCTCGGTAAACGCGTGTTGCAAACGTATTATATATATATAGATCCATTGACTATCTGTCGAGCAGCTCGAATAAGCTTGATAAATCCATGATTTTATGCGCTTATGGCCTTTATCAGGGCTGGCTTTAAGACGGATCACTGGTCAAAGCTTGTTGCCGATTGATCGCAATTTCATGGTTTCAAAATATTCGGTGAACACTCGACGTATGATTTTTCGTGCAAACCCTGATCAGCTTTAAGGCAAGGTTTTGCGCGATGAACTGGAAATGACGGGTTTTAGGGGTTGCATTCTTAGGCCCTTGTGATTATTGGTGTAGCTAGCTGTTTCGTTTGGGGTGAGTACAGTACGGTCGTGAGAAAATTTTCCATTGCTACAGGAAGTATTTATTGAAAAGGGACTAGGTCTTTTAGTGGTTGATTTTTTGGGAATTTTGTGGATTTGAAAATTTGGGAGGGTTAAGAATTTGAGGATATAGGAATTTCGGAATTCTGAGAACAGGGAATTGTGGGGTTTGGGAAGTTTTAGGATTTGGGGAATTTTTAGATTTGAGAAGTTTTGGGATTTTGAAAGTTTTGGAATTTAGGGAATTTGGGAATTTGAGGAGTTTTGGGATTTGGGGAGCTTTGGTATTTGGGGAGTTTTGAGGAGTTTTGGATTTGGGGAGTTTCAGGATTTGAGGAGTTTTGGGATTTTGGGAGTTTTGGGATTTGGGGAATTTTTAGATTTGAGAAGTTTTGAGATTTTTAAAGTTTTGGAATTTAGGGAATTTGGGAATTTGAGGAGTTTTGGGATTTGGGGAGTTTTGGGATTTTGGGAGTTTTGGGATTTGGGGAATTTTTAGATTTGAGGAGTTTTGGGATTCGGAGAATTTCGGGAGTTTTGGGATTTGGGGAATTTTTAGATTTGAGAAGTTTTGAGATTCGGAGAGTTTTGGGATTTGAAAAGTTTTGGGATTTGAGGAGTTTTGGGATTTGGGGAGTTTCAGGATTTGAGGAGTTTTGGGATTTTGGGAGTTTTGGGATTTGGGGAATTTTTAGATTTGAGAAGTTTTGAGATTTTTAAAGTTTTGGAATTTAGGGAATTTAGGGAATTTGGGAATTTGAGGAGTTTTGGGATTTGGGGAGCTTTGGTATTTGGGGAGTTTTGAGGAGTTTTGGGATTTGAGGAGTTTTGGGATTTGGGGAATTTTGAGATTTGAGGAGTTTTGGGATTCGGAGAGTTTTGGGATTTGAAAAGTTTTGGGATTTGAGGAGTTTTGGGATTTGGGGAGCTTTGGTATTTGGGGAGTTTTGAGGAGTTTTGGGTTTTGAGGAGTTTTGGGATTTGAGGAGTTTTGGGATTTGGGGAATTTTGAGATTTGAGGATTTATGGGATCTGTGGAGTGTTGGAATTTGAGGAGTTTCAGGATTTTGAGAGTTTTGGGATTTGGGGAGTTTTGGAATTTAGGAACTTTGAAATTTAGGGACTTTGAGATTAGCGAATTTTGGTTAGTGTTCTGAGAATTTTTGGATTTGGGGATTTAGGCAATTAAGAATTTTGGGAATTAGGAGAATCTGGTTTTGGGGACCTTATTAGGGTTTGGGAATTTTAGAACTTGGGAATTTGGAGACTTTGTAACTCTTAGGATTTGGATATTGTAAGATTTGGGAGTTTGAGAATTTTAGGATTTATGTAACTAGGAATTTGTAGGTTTTATAATTTAGTTATCTACCAGTGTGAAAATCTAGGAATTTTGCAATATTTGAATATGGTTACTTAGAAATTTAAAAATATAGGAATATGGAAATCTAGGGACTTTAGGGCACAGAAGTGTGAGGATCTAGAAATTTAGTAATAAATAGATATTTAAGTATCCTAAGATTTCAATTCTTTAGACATGTAGATATATAGGAATATAGGTATCTAGCAATTTGAGAATTTAAGGAATTTGAGAGGAATTTAAGAACCTAAAAATTTAGAGGCTTAGGTATTTGAGAATCTAGAGATTGGAGGTTTCTTGATAAAGAAATCTAGGGATTTGACTATCTTCAAATTTGTGGGCATATGAATATGAAGTTTTAGAGAATTTATGCACATAGGCATTTGGGAGTCTACAAAATCCTAGAACCTTCAAATTTAAGAATTATGGGTGAAAATATTTGGGAATTTGTACATTTACAAATCTAGGAATTTGGTGATTTCAAATTAAAAAAAAATAGAGGATATTGAAATTAAAAAATTCAAAAACTTGAACACTTAGAAACAATTAACAAATTTTTAATTTGCAGAATTAACACGGTATAAAATCGATCAATTTGTGTTAATGAAAATATAAAAGTCTTGGAATTTACGAATTGTATTTTTAAGAAAGAATTTCACACTTGAACTGTAATGTACGTCACGAGTGCGCTTCAATGTCATAAGCCAAGGGGTTAAAACTATGCATAATAATTAAAGGTGGGATGTAAGGGAGAAGATAGAAATGGATCCAAGAGGGAGGCCCTTTGAGAAAGCGATTTAAATTCACCGTTCCAAATAAAAGATTAAATGTGCAGGATTGAGGGCAGCAATTCAAGCCAGGGAGCTTTTGCTAGATTCTTAGGTAATTCACCGAAAATCCGAAAGATTCAAGCTGGAGTTTTAAAGAATTCTGAACCCTTCGATACTTTCGTTAATTTCGAAATTTTAACAATATTCTATATAATTATAAGTTATTACAATTAAAATAGTAAGTATAATTATTTTTTTCTCATTGAAACAGAGTAAGAATAAAACTGTCAAAAAAGTTAGAATTAGAAATTTTCAATATGTCGGAATATAGCGACGGTATACTACTTGCTTCGTAAAAATACAAATCGTTGACAGTTGCGTTAACCGATAATGATCCAATCTGTTATATTATTACTAACTTTTGTATTTTTATTTCTCTTATTTCTACAATTTTTTCCAACATATTTTTATCGTTTGTCTTATTAAAATGTTACCAAATACGATGAAATTTAAGACATATTTGTTTATAATAATTTATTAGAATATGTTGTTCGATATAGGCGAGACTCAATTACAAGTCAATTATAAGTTGAAATTGAAATTACAAGTAAATATGTACCGAATTATGGCGTGTTTGGTCTGATTTTAATAGAAAAAATATCAAAAATATGTTCGTAAAAGTTTCGTAACAAAAAAGTAAAAAATAAAAAGATTTTATTCTTGCATTAGAATCGTCACAAAGATGTTATCGTTAGCTTACATTCGGCCATTTTTGTCGCTCGGCATTCTTTTCTGCGTTCGGCAAACTTCGGTCAATGTAAGAACCACATGATACAAGTGGAAAATTTAACCTGAGAGATCGCTTCTTGCGAAACTTTATTATAACCTCAACCACTTTTCTCAAACGCATTTAGACACTTCAGCCATTACGACTTTAACTGTCAAAGATATCACATGATTACCCGAATAACACCGAAGGGATACGAAGTTACCCGAAGTGTCATTACTCGTTCGTTTACCGCGAATTAGTACAATAAAACCTTGTTGTAAGGGAACCGCTTGAAACTACAATTAAATATGTTCCGAATTACGTCGTGTTTAGTGTCATTTTAATCAGGAAAATGTCACAATTATGTCAGTAAAAGTTTCCATAACAGAAAATTAAAAGTAAAGAAGTTTCATTCTTACATTAGGATTGCCTCACCGATATGTTTACTGTTTGTTTACATTCGGTCGAACGTTTCAGTCTTCCGCTGTTCTTTCTACGTTCGGCTTTCGATCAATGTCGGAACTACACAATGTGAGCCATAGTTCGGTCCCGAAAGATTCGCTCGTATCGAGGCTTTAATGTAACGAGAAGACTTTTAAAAAAGACGATCGTACGGATAGAAGTAAAAAAGTAGCCAATGGCAGAAGTTGGCCAGAGGGGCTAGCACGTCGATAGGGTCAATAAGAGAAGTGGAGATACTCGAGAGGTCAGGAAGAGCAAAAGAGCCGACTCGCCCTCGACTTCGTTCTTTAAAATTCTCGTCGTTTGTCTACCTAAGGCGTCAGGTGACCTAATTCAGCATCGCACTTGTATCTGTAACGACGATATTCGAAAGCTCCTATGAGACCTGACGTAAAGCCGTTCGACTTCCAAAAATCACCATATTGTTTCTCAATGTTGCACACTGCGATAAAACATTAAAAATAGCACACAACATTTAGAAAAATCTTTTTGGATCTTTTTAGAAGTCTTGCATAACATTTACTATTTCTATATATTCTACATATTCGATTTTCAATTTCTGTATATATTATTTAATTTACAATTTCTATATATTCTATGTATTCATTTTACAATTTTTATTGTTAACTAATATTTAGCAAAGAAGAACAATTTTTTTCAAATCTAACTTTTCAAAAATGTAATTCTTCAATAAAGTTTTTGTACAGTGAATGCTTTAGGAATTATTTGAAGTTTGTAATTTTATTCTTTATTCACTTATTCGCTTTTCATACTGGAGGAGCTATTTAAGAATTTCAGTAATGGTGATCATCAAAGGATTTTAATAACGGATGTTATCAAAAGATTTTAATAAAGACCCATAAACTTTCATCTTTGTGATTATCCGAAAAATTGTATTTAACTTTAATTACCAGGGAATGAATGTAATTACTCCAATATTAATATAAAGATATTATGGTGTATATTATATCATTTCGCTAATTTGCAATTTATAGAACATCATGCGAATATTGCAATATTTTTCTGCTTTTTATTTGTTTTAAATTTGTTTCTTTTTTATCTTAATATATTTTTACAGTATTTTATACTGTAATAATTTTATAATATTTTCTTATTTGAAAAGTTGATTTTATAATACTTTCTATATGTTTTTCTATATATACATATAATTTATATATAATTTTCTATATATTTTTCTTAGAAAACAGAAGGATATTAAAAGATAAAAAAGTACAAGCCTGTGAGTACTTTTACTTATTAGTAAGAAACACACTATAAATAAGAAGCAATTTTCTAAAAAATCACGCTTACAATCTTTTGCATTACCACTATCAGATTAAGAAAATATATCATTCCATTATCCCTGATATTCCACCTACAGAATGACCCTTTTCTTACGTTGGTAACTTCGAAATTAACGTCGAACAAAGCTGTTAAAGAACCCATGTGCCTCGTTCCCGTGTGCTGCACCATTATGTAGAATGTAGGAGCTCTAGCAAATGGCTGCCATGATTTATGAGACACTTCCACTAACCGCAGTAGACAAAAAATGTTATGAACAGGATGTAATCAGTGCTGTATCATCAGTAACTTGTGACCATAAAGATTGGAGAACACACTTTCCACAGGTTACAGGATTTAACCTCACAGTCATAATTATGTGATAGAACACGCGTCATAAAATTAAGATATAAGTCGAAAGTAACTAAGATTTAGTTAAGCGATTGTTCTGATGGGTTTTTGGGTTAATTATTGTTAATTAAATTTTGATGTAAAAACTATGGAAATAGTTCATGTGTTGTTTTTAAAAATTGAGAGAAATATGAATGGTAGATACTTACTTAATAAAATTTGTCTAAAAATATTTCTATATTATTGTTATTTGATTATCAATATTTTTTGTTGCAGGAGTTTCTGTTGGCCATTGATGTTACATCTAGTGGTACGCCAGAAGAAAAATTGAAATGGGCTTTCCGCATGTACGATGTTGATGGAAATGGCGTCATCGACATTCAGGAAATGACAAAAATTGTGCAGGTATTATATAATTTACAATTTAGTCATTTTAGCATAAGTAACGCGATTAATTTTTTAGTAATAAGTTTAATCTGTATTTTTATGTCAATTATTTATCAACGTAATTGTCATCCAAGTGACCTGAAATTTCATTGTTCGATTTTATTAAAGTATTTGTAGAATGATATGCAATTAGTACTATTGATATGTAATATTATTAATCAGGTTCCTTTGCAAATATTAATTCTCTGACATGTATGACTTTTAATTTATAATTACTGTTTTGGTTACATAGAAAATATATTTAAATCAATGAATACTAATTATTATAATTAATAAGCACAAAATTGCAAATGTGAACTTTGTTAGCTGGGAATAATTAGTATTTTAGGAAAACTAACAAATTAATAGCAATTGTCATAATTGAAAAATTGCAAAATGAACTTTAATAACCATAAATATTTACAAAATTTATTAAAAAAAAAGACAAGAGCGTTCAGTATATTCCCAAAGAAACTTAGACAAAATTTTATAAAAATCCTTGTAGCAAAATTCGAATGTTATGAATGAATGTTTGCGTATTTCAATTTGTTCGATTCGTGTCAAAATCCAACCCTCTAATGAGCATACAAGACCTATCAAAAACGCAATTGTTATCGAATTTGCTATATCCAGATTGAATTTTTGATTAAATGTCAATTCGACGATGAAACCACAAACCGTTGAACTCGCATTGCGAGATAATTATTCTCAGTTTCAACCGAATAGGTCAGAGTGTTAAATTGAAACACAGTTTAACGGGGTGTAATCAGTGACCGGAACGATAATGAGGGAGTTGCGTCGGAAGGGTTATAAATCGACCTCCTGCTTGCGTCCATTATCTACCGACGATTCTGTTACATATATTTCTGCATGTGTAATACTAATGGTTTTGTTAGACACTGACATCGAGATAAGAACATTTTGAGCCGCAACTTGAATACGAGCTGATTATTTTGGAAGTTAGGCAAGATCATTTCTTGTTATTGCGAGATATTTTTTATATTTTGTGGTGGTAGATAATTTATGTTTATTATCCAATAATGTTTATACCACTGGGTAAAAGGAAATGAAGATTTTAGTATACTTAAATGGACCTATTATACCAAGTATTAGTATACCCAAGATTCTTCCTTTATTACCAATTCTCAAGGGTCTTAGTTCTATAAACATAAAAATAATAAAGTTCCTCACAAATGAAGATTTTATTGGAATAATGTTATTACCTAGGGAAGTTATTACACAACTTCGCTTTCAGAGGCATCACAGTTATAATTTCCGCTGAAATCATTCCGAGCCATATTTTTGTAATAAAATAAACCGCAATTCGTAATTAACTTCCGTTCAAAAGGGCAATTGCATGTCTCCAGGACACGTCCGAACCAATCGGAACGATTCGGCAACCTTCGGCTATTTACGACGCGCGAAACGGTTGACGATCCGCGAGGGTTGATACGTGACGATTAGAATTTAGAATAGATTCGGAAGGCAAATAGTAAACACTTGTGGTGTAAATAAGTGAATAGTAAAAACGTGTAGTTAATAAATTGTTAAATTAACTTTATTAAGTTTCATCATATGTTACCATTATCTTCGCTTTTTCAAAATGGACATGTTCCACTTTCAAAATAAACGGCTCCTATCATTGTGACGTTATCGTTAATCGATAATAACTCTAGTACCTTCATAATTAGGAACTGATTTTTGTCCCACTTTACTATTAGAACTGTATAATTTATTTGTAATTATGATACAACAGGATATTGATTTGTAATTATGATACAACAGAATATTGATTTGTAATATTGTATTATTATATAATGCTGTATATTTTAATGTAGAGACGCAATTATTTCCTTAATTATTCAGTACTCGAAAAATGTTTCAAATTAAAATCTGGAATAAGTTCATTGAAATATAATTAACGTTTCTAATAAAATACTTTGGAATAATTTTTACAAATATATTAAATCATTTTCTAGTATTTTGAATAATAAGAAGAATTAAAAAATAAAATTTTGGGCATTTTTGTTATTTAAAAATTTGTTTTATTTATTTGAAAAAATACGACCATAATACATACGCATACGTCATGTACGACTACGAATATACTGTTGTAACCATGTCATGTTGAGGTTATGGCAACGTTATACTCGCCAGTTATGTAAATACGAACCAAAGATTCAATAGTATTGTTTACAAAAGCACAGGTTATAAACAGTGTCAAAACAGATTTGTTTTATTGATAAATTTGAAAAGTGTCGGTGAAAAAAGATTGAAAGCTATTGCATCTGTGACTAAAGCAAACGCTGAAAACCAGGAGGATAAATAGAATAACAGTGATAAAATCAGTTATTGAAGATACATATAGTAGTACAAAATGTCTATAAGTCAACTGAAATTTATACAGTCACGTGTCGAATAAAATGTATTCTTAATTAAAATGTGCTATTATTATACATATGCACTATTTTAGTTTTATTGCATTCAGTATTCGCGCCATTATTACTTTATTAAATTATGAAAATTTGCGAATTTAAAAAATGTTCATGTTTCTATACATGTCCTTTTGTAAAGGAAGCCTTCATTACATCTGATTGTACTAATTTCTTAAATTGCGTTCTTGGACAAATTAAAGAATTCATATTCCAAATTAAAAATATAAGAAATTAAATGTTTTATTACTTACATAATAAAAAACTATAGATGTCTTCTAGAAGTACGAAGTCAGCTACGTCACAGAAAATCATAATACAGCAATTATTCTTTATAAGCAAAAAATATCCTTTACGATACGAGCAAAAATGTTATCCCCACCACTGGAAAGAAGTCCTCTTGACATACCAGAAGCTCGTTCGGTGAGCAATGTAACATGAACCGGATTGGGGTATATCCGTAAAACAATACATATGCGAATATAAAACTTTTTTATTTTTTATTTCTTCGTTATCAAACTTTTATCAATAGATTTTGCACATTTTTCTGATTAAAATGAGACCAAACATGACGTAATTTGGCAAATATTTACTTGTAGTAACTTATTACAGTATAATCATTGAGGTAAAGTAGTAGAAGTCTACGATTTCGACTGTCAGACGTATCACGTGATTATCCGAATAGCACCGAAGGCAAACGAAATTACCCGAAGTGTCATTACTCGTCCGGTCACCGCAAACCTTACTACAGTAAAGCCTCATTCTAAAAAAAATGCTAAAAATTACAAGTAAATATGTTTCAAATTATGTCGTGTTTGGATTCATTTTAATCAGGAAACTGTCACAAATATGTTGGTAAAAGTTTCCATAACAAAATGTCAAAAATGGAAAGGTTTTATTCTTACAAGAATTGTACCAGCAATGTGTTATTGTTTGTTTACACTCGGTCTCCTCCACTTGTTATTTTCTACATTCGGTAAAACATCAATCAGTGTAGAACCTATCCACAAGAATTTAGAACGATAGTGTATATCGCACAACGATATACACAAAAGTTCAGACCCGAGAGATTTGTGTATATCGAATGACTACTGCATTATTTAAGAATTAAGGTTAATCATCCATAGACTGATATGCAAATGTGACGTGTTTTTGTTCGCAGGCGATATACGACATGCTGGGCGCGTGTTCAAGTAATAGACCGGCAGACAGTGCGGAGGAAAGAGCGAAAAACATTTTCGCAAAGATGGACGAGAATAACGACGGTCAGCTAACTCAAGAAGAATTTCTGAAAGGTTGCCTCCAAGACGAGGAGCTGTCAAAGATGCTGGCCCCCTAATTCGCATACCATTTTTCGGGATCAGTCATCGATACGCTACTACCAAAAGACGTTCGGGCAACATCGACAAAAACAAACGACAAACGAACGATTTTTATTACGAAACCTAACCTCACTCACGATACGGCCGCTACGGCTTGATCGGACGCCTACGGTTACCGGACAAAAACGAACACGAAGAACACGTTCGAACAATAATCTCAAATCGAGTCGTCGAATCACGTAATTTTGAGAACAGTTAACTCACCGGAAAAAACGATTCGTCGATGGAACACGAACTATGCCGAGAGAAGAAAGAAGAACTCATCGGACGCGGCGGCAGCTTTTGAAAATCTCGAAATGGTGGGAAGATTATCGACGGAGAAAATGTTTCGGTTTATCGCCATCTTGATTCTAGCTAAACTGGAAATGGCTTCTGGTTGTACGACCAGATCGTAATTGTGGAACTTTAACGGACGTTTCTCGTGAGATCGATGTTTCAAGGTAAACGGTTAAATAACGAATGTTTATTCGACGGGATCTTTCAGCGTTTCGCGATTGAACACGGTAAGAAAAAAACGTATTAACCTTTCGATATGGAACAACGAGGATTTTCAGTGATAGGTGACGTTCTGCGAGTGACATCAGGGTGACACAACGAATCGAACGAGAAGCTACTGGCTCTCGATTTTCGGTCAAGAAATGTTTTATATAATGCTGGGGATATACCTCTAGCTAGATAAATGTGGACATACGAACGATCGATTCAACTATTTGTCTTTTGTTGCAACAGTTTAAATCTGTTACTATGGTGATTAGAAGTTGTTGTCGTTGTGTCTTATGCATTGGCGTAACTAGGATTTTTGAATGGGGAAACTGGACATGGTAGAAGTACCTAGGGAAAATTTTGGCGTAGATGGCTTAGGATGTAGGTACGCGATGAATTTCTCTAGAGAACATGGCGATTTAAGAAAAATGTTTTGTCAAATTAGAATACATGTTGGAAATTTAGAAATTTTCGAAGTTTAATGCTTGTAAGTGAAGTTTAGAAATTAACAGATTTGCAAATTCGAAATCTTCATTTTAAATTTGTAAATGTTCGAAGTCCCAAATATGTAAATTGTAAAATCCTATAATTTCAAGAACTACAAATCCTTAGGTTCTCAAATCCACAAATGCCCTAATTCCTTAATTAAAAAATTCTATCACACAGAAATTTCCAAATTTATAAATTCCTAAAACATAATCCTAAATTTTCATGATTTGAAATTCCCAAATTTCCAAATATTAATATTTTGAAATTTTCAAATTTCTGAAGACATGTTCCGTACATTTGAGGTAGAGGGGGGTCGTTAGGATCGCTCTGGGGGCCCACCTAGTTACGTCAGTGGTCTTAGGCTTGTTTCGAATAGCGCATGCGTTGATTTAACCCATTTGCATCGTTCTGAGACTTTAAAAGCATATACCAATTTTGTCTTTTATTAACGTTAAAAATGATAAAGTCTGATTAAAATTAATGTACACTACTGATTTAATTGCCGGAAATAAATAATTATGTATACATATACAGGAACATTATTTCTGAATCTGAATATTCAAATTTAAAATTCTTTAATTAATAAATTCATAAACATGAAAATTGGGAAAAAAGAGATTAAAATTTCTTTAAAAGAGAAAAAATTTCACATTTTTAAATGTGAAAATTTGAAATTATTAAATCATTTTAAAACAGAGATATTCCTTGGAATAAAAATTCTATGTAATCAGATTTCGCACTGCAAAATTCTTGCGTCGACGTTCATTTTAAACAGACTGTAAAAGCGACATGAATAATTCATATAATTTGCTTTGAAATTACTCTGTCTAATAGAAAAACGTGCAGAATTTTCCTTGTATATTTATTAGATTAATATTGTTTGGATAAAAAGAAGCATTTGTTATAAGAAATTAACGAGTTCTGTTTTAGAAGAATGAAAATGTACGTAATTTTGACAACAGATTTGTAAATTAATACTCTAGAAATAAAGAAAACATTCCATTCAATTTAATTCAAGATTATTATCAAAATAATAATTAGCACAAATATTACTCTAGTAAAGAAAGTAGTACCGCTCCAGAATTTAAATTATTATTACAATAATATTTTATGATATCATAGGTTCCTTTAGAATACAGTAGACTTTTGTTATATTACAAATGAGACTGTAACAGTGCAAATTGCTGAAATACCTAGTTTTTGATCTTTTAATTTTTAGGTATCCACGAGTTTTATTTTACAACTCCTGAAATTTGAAAATTTGAAAATTTCCAAAATTAAAATATTTAATTCCTGAATTTCGAAATTCTGTAATTTTTAAATTCTGAAAATCTAAAAATTTGAGATTTTCAAATTCCAAAATGGCCCAATATTTCAAAATCCAAAAATTCTAAAATGGTCCAATATTTCAAAAATTTCAAAACTTCCCAAAATCTAAAAAATTTTTCAAAATTCCATATTTCTCTTTTGAAATCATTAAAAAAAATGTATGAATTTCTGTTGTCCCAAAATTCTTAAATCCTCAAAATTTCTCAATTTTCAAATTTCCAAATCATCAAACTCTAAGGTATGTAAATTACTAATACATCCAAATTGCGAAATTTCCATTAGCCTCCATACATTCAGCGTGAACAGAGAAAATGTGCACATAAAGAAAACGTTTCTCAACCGGCAATATAACAAGAGTCCACTGTCACAAAAGTTCCATAAAACATTCTTCCAGGTTACATTGTATCTTCGTCGATTGTATTGTACAATCTTAACACTACAAGGAACATTCTTAAAATTATGTATGTACCATTACTCAAATTTCTACCACACGCAGATATATTCGCGAAACGAAACGGATGTATATATCCGCGTCTGATGCAAACGGGTTAACGTTCAAATTCGTTTCGGTTTGAACGATGAAATACACCGTCGAACAGTTTCCACGAAAAGACCAAAATGAAAAAGAAAAAGGCAAAAAAATAAGAAAACTACTCGCTTGCGCTTGCGTCTTTGATTTTTTTTCAACGATGCACGTGCAAGGTCCTTTTATACGTACTGCACAATGTTACGATTAATGTAATGAATATATAATTATACATATATATATATGTCATGTAATATATAGAGAGATATATTACCTGTCATATTGTACGTGTTTAGCGAATTGTGTGTAACATGTATTACGTCAAACATTATATTACGTATGATATGTATAATATATTTATACTATACATGTATAGGGCATACAGCAATGTTTCTCGCGGAAATTACTAGCACCGTTATTTTATGATACGCATTTGGCTCAGTTAAAGGAGATCCGGCGATATATATAGAGAAACTTATTTGAAGGCAACCAGAAATTTTTCCTATTTACAGATAATTGATGATTTCTAGTGACTATAAATCCAGTCACTATAAGCCTGATGACTATTACTGTCACTATACGTATGGTGGCTATTAACATATTGACTATAGATATAGTCACCATAAATGGTCACCACAGTTACTCTGTATAGTAATATATAGATAAATTTTTGCATCTTCAGCTTTGGATAGTCAGGAATTTGTAGTGACTATATTAATAGTCACTATAAATAGTTACCACGATTACTCTATATAGGAACATGTAGAGATGGAAAGAGAAATTGTGTAATTTTTTGTTGCAAACAGTTAATAGTGAGAGTGAGTATAGTCACTGTAAATAGTCACTGTGGACACTCTATTCAGTAATATATAGAGTTTACGTGAAGATAAAGAGAAATTTTCGTATTTTTTTTTTAAATTAATAAATTATAGTGACTATAAGTATAGTCGCTGGAAATAGTAATTATATGTACTCTATATAGTAATATATGCAGAAATCTTATCGGAAGAGAAATTTTCTTATTTTTTGTCATCGATAATTGGTAGTTTATGGTGATTATAAACATGGTCGCGGTAAATAGTCACGATGGTCGCTCTGTATACTAGTATGTAGAGAAAGTTATTTGAAGTTGATAAGGGATTCCCATATTTTTGTTGCAAAATTCGGTAATTTATAGTGGCTTTTATTATTATTATAAATGATATAATTTACAGTTGTATGCATCGGATTTATGTAAAAGTACGTACATAAATTGGACGCGTTTGATAAATTTTCAGGACATATACTTAATTTTTTTATTCTTTTTTCTTAACTACAACTGGTTACAATTTTATGAAATTTGAAGTAGGAATCAATTTTTTCTATTAAAATCGTTGATATTTCCTTCGATAAAACAATATCTTCTACATATTTTAATATAACTGCACTTTCAACGAGAAAAATTTTCTTTAACAGTCTTAAGTTATCGAGCGTACATCTGCAGGGTAGGCTTTCTTAAGGAAAACGGCAATATAGGGAAAGGAGAATTTACCATTTGTTCTAATGTAACGTTTTGCACTTTTTAAATTTTTAAGATTGGAAATTTGAAAACTTTCAAATATTTAATTGATATATTTAAAAGTTTGAAAATTTCAAAACTCTCGAAGGAATTCAAAAGTTTCTGAATTTTGGAATCTTATGAATTTAAAGATTTGAAAATTTTCAAATTATATATTAATTTAAAAACTTAACTTAAAATTTATATATTCTAGAATTTAAGTTATTAAATTTCCACACTGTTAAATTTTCAAACAAGCTTTCAAATTCTCAAACTTCTAGAAATTTCGAAATTTGAATGTTAGAGAATTTGTAAATTTTGAAATACAAAAATTTGGAATTTTAAAATTTGTTACTTTATAAATTTGAATGCTTTAAAATTGTGGCATTTACACCTTTAAAAATTTAGAAATTTATACATTTATATATTTGTAAATTTTAATTTTCAAATTTTGTATTAAATTCTCAAACTTTGAAATTTTTGTTTATATTGTAATTTTTGTATTGTTCAATTTTTAAATTCGGATATTTTCCATTTTTAAATTAACCAACTATTCCATTTGTAAATTTAAAAATTTTTTAATTTAAAAATTCTATAATTTGAAAATTATATAATATAATCTTTTCAACATTACAAATGTCGAAAATTACAAATTTGAAAATTGTAAAAATCATCTGATTTCTATGTTAAAACTTCCAAACTGTTAATACAAGCAATGGAATGCATTTCCCATTAACCTTGCTCTTTTCCAAAGAAAGCCACCATTGCGTCAAACTGTACGCATTCTGTGACCTCTAACATTCCGTTTCACGCTTGAAATAACTTCACGCGAATCAAAAATGTAAATAATATGAATAGAATCTTTAACAATTCTGTATGTTATATGGTACTAAAATTCGTTTAATTTTTCTTACATCACCTTTTCATGAAATACTGGTACTTCAATCAATGATGCTATCCTACAATGAAAAAACTAATGATAGACGGATATTAATTAGTAATAATATTCGACCAATTTGCGCATTACGGTTAGGTGAATGTATTTAGGCAAAAAATTTGTCCTCTCGTGCAAAGAGCGTTGATAATATACTTTAGAATTCTACGAATTTATAAATCGTCGATAGAAAGTGTCTACCTATTAGGGCTAGAGACTTTTTAATCAGAACCCCGAAATAGTCAGCAAGGATAGGTCAACAACGCAGTGCTGCCGCCGCGCATTTCTCTGCGCAGGTTGTACTGCGAAATTTAAATTGTATAGGATGATATACTTTGACTGACAGATACAAATTACATAAATAATTAATTTTAATTATATTCTTTTATTTTCTTATTTTTCGAATATTGTTTCTTCCTTGTTTTTTGTATGCAATATTATATCTGAACTAATTTTAAACAAAAAGAATAAAAATTTTTAAATTAAAAAATTTTCAGTTTTAATATATGACAGATAGGTAAAAAGTTGTATGCACTTTACGTTTATACAAAGAGCTTTATATATAAACTCCATATTTTTTATTAACAATAAATTTATAGAACCTATACAAGAATATATGTTAATATTTGACGAAAAATAATTGTATAAATATATGGATCATTCTTTATTTTTCTGCTTTAACTTCAGTTTAAAAATAAGCAGTAAATGCACATAAATCTATCAGTAAAAGTTATTTATGTAACTTGTATCTCTAAGTTAAAATACGTCAGAACGTACAATTTCGTGTCTGTTGGTGAAAAATGGCGGCGCCAATCAAAATCGATACCATTATTTCGTGGTTATGATTAGAGGATCTCTAATTAGGACTAGTTTG